TTACATTAACAGGAAAACATTTTTTAAAATATATTTTATTGATTTTTTTACAGAGAGGAAGAAAGAGGGATAGAGAGTTAGAAACGTCGATGAGAGAGAATCATCTATCAGCTGCCTCTTGCACACCCCCTACTGGGGATATGCCCACAACTAAGGTACATCCCCTTGACTGAAATCGAACTGGGGACCTTTCAGTCCGCAGGCTGACGCTCTATCCACTGAGCCAAACCAGTTTCAGCAACAGGAAAATTTTTAACTATAACTCAGTGGGAATTCAAGAATGCAGAATGGAATACAACTATATATTTAACTAGTTGTGGTGTTTTTTTTTTTTTTTTTTGAGAGTTGTTGAATTGCCTATTGGCATTGTTCAGAGGACTATGGTATGGAAGGGGTAAGTTTGTGTGTGCATGTCTTTCAGATTAGGAATCAATGATTATAGATTTTTAAAAGAAATCTCCCTAAATATAGAACTACTGAAACTTACTGTGAAATTTGGCAACCCTAAGCCTCCAATGGTTAAATTTTTTCAACAACGAAACTATAAGAATGAGTTTTCACTACCCAAAGATCCACTCTAATGTTAGGTATGTTTTAATCTCCTCTCTCTCTCTCTCTCTCTCTCTCTCTCTCTCTCTCTCTCTCTCTCTCTCTCTCTCTCTCTTTGCTTTCACTTTGCTTCAAATTGGGTGTGGTCTTTGGTCTGCTACATAGGCAAGGCCTTTTATGTGTACCTGGGCTGCCAGGCATTCTCCTTGGTCATAGAAGTTTCAACCATTTTAAGATGCCACTCTATCTACATGCACCCTGAGTATAGACTGTTGTGCTGGGACCACCTTAATGCTCTTTATAGATCACTATATAGATGACTCCAGAGAGCAGACTTTCTATAAGTGATCATCATATTCCTTGCAAAGCAAGTATTCTTATCATCCCCATTTTACATATGAGGGCACTGAGGCCCAGAGGAGGTAAAATGACTTACCTGTGATTATAAAGTTGTTAAATAGTGAATCCTAAATTAAGACTCTTTCTGCATCCAGATTTAACTACTATACTACAATTAACATTTCTGATTTTGTTTTTTTTTTAAATTGAGATATGATTCACAGAGAAAAAGAACATAATAAAAATATTAGTTCCATTTTCCATGTTTCCATGTCTTAGAATACTTCAGACTGCTCTAAAGGATTATGGCAGTTCTGCTTCCAACACAGTGGTAATAGGCCCTATGGATATAGTCCAATTCAACACATAAAGTGTTCTCCTGGAGCCCAGGAGTCTATATGCTGTTTCCCTTTAACTTGGGTGCCCTGTACTGGCGCTTTCTAGGGAACAGTTTACATTTTTAAAAATGTATTTTTATTGATTTTAGAGAGAAAGGGAGAGGGAGAGAGAGATAGAAACATCAATGATGAAAGAGAATTATTTAAAAAGAAAAGAAAAAAAAGAAAAGAAAGAAAGAAAGAAAGAAAGAAAGAAAGAAAGAAAGAAAGAAAGAAAGAAAGAAAGAAAGAGAATTATTGATTGGCTGTCTCCTGCAAGCCTCACACTGGGGATCAAGCCCACAACCTAAGCATGTGTCCTGACTGGGAATCAAACTGTGACTACTTGGTTCACAGGCTGATGCTCAACCACTGAGCCATGCCGACCAGGTGGGAACAGTTTACATTTTGTAGACATTTATGTCCTATAAAGTAACAAAGATAGCAATGCTTTGTACTTTTTTATTTTATCTTTATCTGGAAATAAAATTATTGGTCATTTTAAGTATTTCTCCCCATTTTGATAGAATGCAGAAGTGACATGTTTATAAAAATGGAGTTAAATTAGATAATTTATGATCAGAATACTATAGGTAGATCAGAAATATACTCAAGTTCTCAGCATTTATTGGAACAATTTTGAAAATGTTCAAGAATAGATGAGGTCATCATTCACCAGAATAGGAAGCACTGAAAGTAGATCACATCGTATAGGGGAAAAGATCAAGAGTTCCATTTGGATGTGTTGGGTTTGAGGGCCTAGGCCCATGATTTGAAGATTTAGACGGTCAGGGTTAATGGAGTAACATTAGTAGCATAAAGATGGTAGTTAAACACATAAAGGGTTAGGGGTAGACAGCCCACCATGATCTTGTAGCACAGGAAGAGAAGAGGATCAAGGATGGGACCTGGAGTTCTTGTGAAGCACAAAGTGACCTCATAAAGAAGCAGTCTGAGAGGCTGAAGGCAGTTGGCTATTGGAAGCTGAAGCTTAGGGGGAAACTCTGGGTTGTAGCTATAGCAGGTGGCATTTAGAGGATGGTAGAAAGCATGGGAACAGATGAGATAGCCTAGAAAATGTAGTTTTTGTATCAATAGCATTCCTTCTAATAACTGATACTGTTACCAACTTATTAGAGGTAGAGATAGTCTGATGATAATGATTTCCAAATTCATTGGAATGGGGTAAAGTGCAGGGGCAATATTTAAATTAGAGCATGTGAGTATATAAAGACTATAAAAGATATGTTCAGGCTGTACCTGTATTCCCTTACTATGAACCATACTAAAGAGGTAATGCCTTTGTCCATCTCTACTGTGAACATATTGACAACTGAGACCCTGTATCAATAAATGTCACCCTTGCTCATACCAAAGTTTTCTCGTTGGAAAAAGTTTGTCTAGCATGATTTTGGCCTTATGGTAGAAAGTCATGTTCTGAGGTGTTCAAAGTCACTCAGCCAAGAAGGAACTGTGTGTGTGGCCCATGGGACTGAAGAACAGGGGCAGTGGCCAAGAGCTGACCCCACCTATTCTCACTCTCCTTTATTTTTTTTCTACAGTAAATCTTTTCTGCTTGAACATGTGGTGTTTGTCTTAAGCAATGCACTCTGTCAATAAAGACAAAAGCTACTCTGGGTTTCTTACATGAAAATCCCTCAATTGGAGGTGACAAGGAATAGCCCCCTTGATTTCAGTGGAAGACTGAGGACTGATATTTGCCCTCAGCTGACTCTGCTCTATTTCTTCTTGCCTAAGCTGGAACCACCTAGACAGCTATTAAAAAGACTAGAGGCCCGGTGCATGAAATTCATGCACTCAAAGTGGGGGGGGATCTCTCAGTCCAGACTGCACCCTCTCACAGTTCAGGAACCATCAGTTGGACATTCTTCATGCTGCCAGGAGTGAAAGAGGCTCCACCACCACTGCTGTGCTAGCCAGCCATGGGCCTGGCTTCTGGCTGAGCAGCATTCCCCCTGTGGGAGCACAATGACCACCGGGGAACAATTCCTGAATTGAGCATCTGCCCCGTGGTGGTCAGTGCATGTCATAATGACCAGTTGTTTTGCTGTTCAGTCAATTTGCATATTGGCCTTATATTATGCTAGTGGCCTGGTGCACAAAATTCGTACATGGGGAGGGGAGTGTCCCTCAGCCCAGCCCTCTCCTATCTGGGACCCCTCTCACAATCCAGGACTGCTGGCTCCCAACTGCTTGCCTGCCTGCCTTCCTCATTGCCCCTAACTGATTCTGCCTGCCAGCCTGATCACCCCCTAACTACTCCCCTGCCAGCCAATTGATGCTCAGCTGCTCCCCTGCCAGCCTGATTGCCCCTAACTGCCATCCTCAGGCCTGGTCACCCCTAACAACTGCCCTCCCCTGCAGGACTTGTCCTCTCCAACTGCCCTCCCCTGCAGGCTTGATCACCCCCAACTGCCCTCCCTTGCAGGCCTGGTCCCTCCCAACTGCCCTTCCCTGCTGGCCATCTTGTGGTGGCCACCTTGTGTCCATATAAGGACAGGATCTTTGACCACATGGGGGCAGCCGTCTTGTGTGTTGGAGCGATGGTCAATTTGCATATTACTCTTTTATTAGATAGGATAAGCAACTGTTTCTCATTTAAGGCCCTCCCTCCAGCATCACTTAGCTGTGATTTTAAAAAAAGTTTCTCTTCAATCCCTGAAACCGTTCCAGAGCAAGCTGGAAATAAAAACCCAGATTGTTTTTCACTGAGTAAGCTTCCATGACATTTATCATAGGCTCTCACAGACTTTCAGGGAGTGATATTTTGTGGTGCAACAAGCTTGAGAACCAAGTTTATCTAGTTTATAAACACAACACAAAGGTTAGGAAAATTCCCTCCAAATGATTCCTCCTCCCCAAACCTGGCCTAAGCTTCAGGTGCTTAATAACAACAATAATGTTAAGGGATTTTTATTATTATAAAATAAATAACAGGATAAAGACAAGTTCACCCTGGAAACAGTGGAGACTGCAGGTAGATACAATAGATTTCCTTTAAATACACTCATTTCTTGAGAAGGAGTGGGCAGGTTCAGAGCTGTTCTCTCTGCTCCCCCTCCCATCTACAGTGGTGGAGATAGGAACAAAGTTGATTAGCAACAGTCTCACACTGTGAGGGAGGGAGGGAGAGTGGGAGGAAGGGGGAGAAGGAGAGAGAATAAATGAGTGTCAGGGAGGCTAGTGGGGGGACAGAGTTTTTTAGTTCTCCACTGCGTTAGACTTTCTAGAGCCTGTTCCCTTCATCAGTGACACAGGGGCCAGAATCAACCATAACTAAATGTGAACTGAGCCTCCTTGTTTCCCTTATGTAGTTTCACTGATAAATCAAATACATTATCCACTGAAAGACACTTCAGGCAACAAAACAAAACAACTAAAAAACTAAACTTGGCTAATAATTTGCTGTTTACTCAGAATTCAATCTGTGCTTAATGGCCTTGTCTTTTCATTGGCATCTCTGGATGTCTATGTCAGTTGGGTTACTGCTTCAGAATATAAGCTCATAGGGAACGGGGGCCTCTCTGGGTTTCACCCCACCTATAATTCACTTATTGCAGCCCTATACTCCTTGGGGTGTATAATAAATAGTTCTCCGTGGGGAGGATCCTAGAGTTATAAATAGGCAGTTCAACAGGGGGTTGTCTTAACTGCTTTGCTGTATTATGAAGACTACCAGCATCTGCTCAGCGGCAGCCTGCAAGGTTACAGTGTTCAGAGTTTGAGTAAGCCAAAATATGTGAAGCCGGTCCCATGGCTCACTTGGCTTGGATCAGTCACATTGACAAACACTGAAGCACCTGGTTGCAATTCAAATACTCCTCCCAAGTGAATGGATTGTTGCCCGCAAGGTTTGGAGGAACTGTGGGTATTTGCCGCTCTAAGTAAGATTCTCTCAGATCCACTCGGGGACTTCAGGCAGAGGCTGGCTATAAATGGAGCTTGACTTGCAGCTTCCCGATTGGAACAGAAGGTGACTTGGGCATAGATATAATAGAGTCCTTGTCTTTTAACAGCCAGCTGTTTCCCATTTTCAAGGGTTACCAAGTTGTTGCTCATAGTGTAATATCCTTTTTGGGCCCACTGTAGAACTGTAATGGAGAAGAGAAAAATTTGTGGTGAGATGAAGCATAGCATGATTCACATTCTAACAAAACATAGTTTAATGTTGACACTAACTTCATATATGAATGGAAGTTTGGGGCAATAGGGACTTTTAAGGACCCTTCAGCCTTAACTCTATGGCTGACAAATTAGCATAGGCTTTATAGTCAAATGAAGCTTGGTTCCAATCCAAACTTTATTCAAGCACCGGCAAATTAATCTCTGAGTTGCAGTTTCTCATCTGCAACACTGGGCTGATATTAACAGCATATTTTAGAGACTTGCGAAAATTAAATAAACAGAGCATAGCAAGTTTCCTTTTCCCTTTAGAGTTCTTAAAGCTAATTTGTCCTTGAACTTCAGAAAGTGTGAATGATTTCAAAATTACACATAATAAATTATGCATTCCGAAATATTCAAGCAAAATCCTTGCTAATATTAACATTTATTTATTCCTTTTATTAAATTTTATAAAGTCAAAGAATTGCTGATCTTCCTAGCTCAGCCTCTGCACAGAGAAAAGGGAAAGATCCCATTTCTTCCTACCTGATCAAGCTGTGGCAAACCTGACCTGCCTCCCACAGCAAGAACTAAAATTAGGCAAGGAAGTATGAAAATAAACCTGTCATTTCACTATGTGTTTTGATCTCCCCTTGTAGTGGGCGCCACCAACTTGAAAGTGCATGTATTCTTGTGGCTAAACCAGAGTACCCACCAACAGTGTGCCATTTTCTCAGCTCAGATGTTGAGTGGGTTCAAAGTAGTGTGTGCACCTGATTTCAAATCTCAGCTCCCACAGAGAGTTAGATTGCTGGGGTTGGGGTTTGGGAGAAGTAAAAATATTGATGCCTTTGCTTCCTTGAGCTTTAAAAATAATCCTATTTGGTGGTCTAAAGCCTATCAGAGTGCAAGATCCAACCTGTTAGGACTCATCCTTTAGTATAAAAAAGGCATCCAAAATGTCTGACTTTTTGGCCCTCCAGATCACTTCAAAAATGGTACTTTATTATGATGTTTGCACTTTTGGACCAATTGAGAAAACAAGTGCAGGTTCCATATATTTTAGTCCACTAAATTTATTTTTATAAGTCAATGTAATTTTCAGCCTTGCTGTGGGATGTAGGTCAAGTCTGCAGCAGCATGAGCAAGAAAGAACTAGAGGTTTGGGACTGGGTTAGGGTGAGAAATGTTACATTTTCTCACCTGGTCCCCTGAGAACCTACTGTGATGCAGAGCATAAAATATACTAGGACCAATATCAATAATGGTCCTTTTAGCAGAATCTGAACATCATGAAATATATCCAAGGGCAAAGATTTATATACAAATGACCAATGGGAAGCTATTTTTGAGAAGGTATCTCTGTTGCTATTATCTGGATAAGGTGTCATGTGGATGGCCTCTCTGGATATGCCAATATAGTTGTGATATTCTCTTATCTATAAGTGTATTTTCTAAGAAAGGGGTACTTTGTGGAATTAATCAAATATTGTGGGAATGCTGGTATAAATGAAGGACTTTATGCCACTCTTGTGACAGCTAAATTACAGTGAAGAAAGCTAAGTAATGTAATTTGTATAGCACTTGACGGTACAATGTCCTTCCACATTAGCTGATTTGATGCTTAGAGTCACTCTGTGAAGTGGGGCAGGAAATTGCTGTGTAGACAGAGACTTGCTCAAGGTCATCCAGCAAGTAGTAGTCATGGTTCTTGAGCCTCGGTGTTCAAAACTCCTTATCTACCACTCTTACTCCCATACCATGATCCATGATAACCATTTATAACCACTAAGAAACCAAAATCCCACCTTAGAGATAAGGTTGTCTCTCCTCCCCTCTCCTCCCCTCCCTTTCCCTCCCCTCCCCTCTCTTCTCCTTTCCTCTCCTCTCCTCTCTTCTCCTCTCTTCCCCTCTTTCTCAATCACACACTCTTTAAGACTCCATTCCAGAGCACTTCAAAGACTTCTCTCATGCTCTCAGACTGCATTTATGTAAATGGGGGATTTTATGCTAGCGTGTGTGTTTCCATCCATTTATCAGATGTGACACATTCTCCAGCACCAGCTATCAGGAGGTACAGATTTGGGAAAAAGATCTAAGGGCTAGAACAATGGCAGAACGTATATGGAAATAAAGTCACTCAGAGTTGAAAAGATTACAATATGTTTTCTGTTGTTACTTCATTGGAAAATCTAACATCCTGGCACCTACTGATCTTTGCAGAACGATTTCACCTTTTAATTTCCTTGAGGTTGGCCTCCATGTGAGGCTGAGGTAATCATACGTCAATTGACAGATGGCAGGAAATGCCCCCTGAGGCCCATTTACACATAGTGAAGAAGGGTTAGTAAGAGTTCGCAGTTAAGTCACTACTTGTCATCTCTTCTATGTTGTCAGAATAATGATCTCTTCACCCAGTAATTCATCATTTAGAATCAGCCATTGAACAAGAACATAATGAGAACATCAGTATTATTTCCCACCTCCTTTTGTTCCTTCAAGTCCCATTTTTACATTTGAACTCACTTTGAAGACAAAGGAGAACATGTGAGAGGTACATGAGTAGGTTTATAGATTAGGCCCCAGAGGAAGAGAGGAACCTAATCATTAGGCTGAATTGCATCAGTATTCCAGCCTTCTCCCTTGGATGGCTGATGCTCAGATGCTTTTGGACTTACCAGATGCTGTTTTACTACTGGCCTCACTTATGACATGCGCTGCAATTTGAGGGTCCTGATCACCTAAAATGAAACAAAAACCAAATTGTTAGGCCAAAGTAATGCAAAACTGCCCATGGAACTATTTAGTTCAGTTCCACATCTGTGTAATAGAGACTGTGTTTAAACAGGTTATGTAAAAGTAAGAGTAGAATGCTTTTTAATCCTCACTATGGGAAAAGTTGGTTTCTAAAAAATCTGAATGATTGAATTGATTAATTCTACTGATCCTATTTTTCTTATAGTTGTTCAGTACTCAATTCAACTTCACATAGATTGACACAGGCTAAAAGTACTGATCTGCATTAAAACATACTTTGAATCTTGCTTTTAGGAACACCGTCCATCCATTGGGAATGTTAGTGGGCCCCAAGGTCATGTCTACACAATTAGCTAGTAAGATGCTCATGGTGTCTGATTTGGTCAAATAACTGGCTAACCTACTGTATCTACCTCTAATTGTTTCTTATGTAAAAGGCTTGTTTCTTAATTAGATGTGCTAATTGCATAAGTGCCAAGATTGTGTGGAAGTTTCTTTTTGTCCACTAATGAGGCTGGTGTCAGATACTCTGTAGATGCCCTATAAATATTTAGTCAAATTTCATGATGTAAATTATAAGTTTTGTTAAGTTTATCATTTTTTTCTGAAGACTGTTAGGCAGCCTGTATGATTAACTTCAGCCTCTACATGAACAGTTTCCTCAAAGTTTACTGTACTTAATAGATAACATGGTTCTACTCAACATAGAGTCATTCTAAAGACAAAACCTTCATGGAAACCAGATCACCCTTTGCATCTAGACCAATAGTTAAAGCAAGGTCTGAGTATGCTCTTTGATTCAGAAAAGAGTATCTGTATTTCTGTATGCACAGGGTAGCAGCAAAAGTAAATTTACAGTTAGACATGTGCATATGTATTTGTGTGTATTAAATTTACAAAACCCATACCATCATTTTCACTGACTTTGTGATATAATAGTCTCTCTAAAAACACCCATCAACCAACTTTTCATCTTTCTGATATGCAGGTCACTCCAGGAGTTATTATGTTACAGTCTAAGAGGAACAGGGAAAATTAGGGAGTCATCCAGAAAAGGAGGTAACTAGGAAAGGAAAGGGTCTGGAAAGGATCACAAGAACAAGAGTGGAAGGTACTGGGGAGGTTTAATCTGGAGAATGAAAGGTTTCTATGATATCTGGACAGCTGCTATGTAGAAGAGGAATTATACTTTGTTTCATATGGCCCCATAGAGCAGAATTGGTTCCAGTGAGTGGAAATTACAAGAACAAAATTTAACTCCAGAGGATAAAAGACTTCTCTCATGTAATATAGTAAACTTATAATTATTAGACCCATTCAAAGATGGGCCAGGCTGCTGTGTGAAATAGAAGGTGCCTCGGCATATTTTACCAGAGGCCAGACCAGATGGTCATTGCTGTTGTGAAGGAGATTTGTGCCCTGGGTGTGGTGTTGGATTTGAGAACAATCAAGACCCCTTCAAACCAAGAGATGTTCCAGATACTTCATCAAAAACAAGGCAAAGAATAGAATATTGTCACATTGACTTATTCTTTGATTCCAGAGGCTCCACTGGCCATGGTTCGCCATGGAAAAATTATTGAACAATGAATGCCACTGCTACCAAATGATGATTTTCTTATCATATTATCCCATGTAGGTGTTATGGTTATTTGATCATGGTACTGAAAATAATGGAATTTCTTCATACTTGGTAATGTCAAAATTAAAAGAAGCCATCCAATTGTATTCCAGTTTTACTTCCAAGGCTAAAAGTTCCCTGATACAACACAGGGTTACTCAATATAATCAGCCATATAAAGCTTCCTTTTAGTTTTTAAGTATGCATAGAAATTGGTAAACAGCAACCTACCTTTTTGATGTTGAAAGTTTTTTTCTTTCTCCTTCACTTCATATCCTGTTATATCCTGAAATAAAAATCATTGCAAAAGATTTTGACAGGGACTCTTTTGTGGGGTTTTAGAGGTATCATTCATTTGGTATCAAGCCTTACTCTGCTACCTGTTTCTAGTAAGGATTATAATATATGCTTATATCCTATATTAATATCATACTGATTGGGAGCCCATGGCTCTGACCGATGAACTAACAGCCCAGAAAACTGAGGTATATACCTAGAAGCAGAGTCTGGTCTTCATTATCTTCATTCCAGCGTTCTCTCTAGATGAGAGACGATTATACTGACTCTTCCTGTGATCCCAACTTCCCTGGTTTTGTTATATATTTGCAAATAATGTTGAATGGGGAAATGATTCTACCCTGGGAACTGGTATATAGAATGTTAGTAAACATAAAGCCTAGTGTATATCTATTAGAATAAAATTTGTCTAAAATCTTCCAGAAAATGGTAACAATAAGTTTGATTCTGGGAAGAAATCTCAACATTTTTTATTTTGTTGTTTCAGTGGGCTGATGAGGTTCTCTTGTTGCTGGTAGTGTGCCCTCGTGTGGCCTGCATTTACATGGGTGGGCAAAAGTAGGTTTATAGTTGTAATACAAATAAATAATATAATAATTAATAAATAACAATACAAGATAATAATACAAGGATAAACTATTTCAACTACTCACAACTGTAAACCTACTTTTGCCAACCCCTGTATTTAGAATAATCAGCATGTATATAGGAAACACAGGCCATCTCCCAATGCTTCTGATGTTCAAAGGCAAATGCAACTCTTTAGGGGTTTCTTCTCACTTGGCAACTGAAGGAAAGTTAGAGGTACTTAAAGAGTATAACGGGGACAGCAATCAACATGGGTCAGAAGATAATAAAGGCTACTTGCTACCATTTTAAAGATACTGAATAAAAATCTTCAAGGGCATAACTGGCTGGCATGAGGTCACCCGAGGCGTCTGAAGTGAAGAGTCAAAACTGTGAGATCATATTCATAGGCCAGGTTGAACTCACACCATTACCCTATGCTCTAAACACAAGAAAGGAAGACAATAGTATTTCCACATCTTGTAATAATCAGAGTCAAAACTGTGAGATCAGGCAAAACCGGTTTGGCTCAGTGGATAGAGCATTGGTCTGCCGACTGAAGGGTCCCAGGTTTAATTCCGGTCAAGGGCATGTGCATTGGTTGCGGGGACATCCCCAGTAGGGGGTGTGCAGGAGGCAGCTGGTTGATGTTTCTCTCTCATTGATGTTTCTAACTCTCTATCCCTCTCCCTTCCTCTCTGTAAAAAATCAATAAAATATATTTTTAAAAAACCTGTCAGATCATATTCATAGGCCAGGTTGAACTCACACCATCACTCTATGCTCTAAACACAAGAAAGGAAGACAATAGTATTTCTACATCTTGTAATAATCAGTCTTGAGCTCCTTCCCATTACTAGAATCAATTTTCTACAGGGTTCTTCCTTTTCATTCCTCCACTAGAAGGAATTAGTGTTGTAACTATTATCTTCTTGTAGACTCAGCTCAGTTGCCAGATGTGAGGGTATAAGTTAAAAGAACCTGTATCTCTCTCTGGCCAGTGTGGCTCAGTTGGTTGGAGCATAATCCCATGTACTGAAAGGTCTCAAGTTTGATTCCTCATCAGGACACATACCTATATTTCAAATTCTATACCTGATCTAGAGACAACTGATCTCTCTCTCTCTCTCTCTCTCTCTCTCTCTCTCTCTCTCTCTCTTTCTTCTCTCTCTCTCTCTCTCTCTCTCTCTCTCTCTCTCTCTCTCTCTTTCTTCTCTCTCTCTCTCTCTCTCTCTCTCTCTTTCTTCTCTCTCTCTCTCTCTCTTTTCTCTCTCTCTCTCTCTCTCTCTCTCTCTCTCTCTCTCTCTCTCTCTCTCTCTCTCTTTCTCTCTCTCTCCTTCCATCTCTAAAAAAAACTTTATTTATTTTTTAAATATATTTTATTGATGTTTTACAGAGAGGAAGGGAGAGAGTTAGAAACATCAATGATGGAGAATCATCAATCAGTTGCCTCTTGCACACCCCTACTGGGGATGTGTCCGCAACCAAGGTACATGCCCCTGACCGGAATCGAACCCAGGACCTTTCAGTCCACAGGCTGACGCTCTATCCACTGAGCCAAACCGGTCTCGGATCTAAAATAAACTTTAAAAAAACTTAAAGAAAAGAAGAACTTGCACCTCAGAAAGCTCACATAGGCCACAGGGCCTCAACTTTCCACTTGAGGTGAAGTGTCGCACTATGAAAGTGTGGCAACAGGAAAATGTTTGTGAGATAACAAGTAAACAAATGAGTATTTAGTGTCTTTTCAAAAAAATGGAGTGTGATGATGGAGGTTGAGATAGTTTCAAGCTAGGTGGCTGCATTGGTGTCAGGGCCTAGCCAAGATGAGAATGTAAAGTCAGCAAAGTTTGCCTTTTATGCACCCAACCTTGCCTTTCCGAGAACTTTCGCCCAGTCACATGCCCCAGTCTTTTTTCTTCCTTTACACCCCACCTCAACTGAAAGACCTTTAAAAGATGACTTTCAGAAAATCTGGGATTAGTTATTTCTCTCTCAGTGTGAACTCTTGTGGAAGGTATGGACAGCCCCAACTGTTTTGGCTCAGTGGATAAAGCGTCGGCCTGCAGACTGAAAGGTCCCAGATTTGATTCCAGTCAAGAGCATGTACCTTGGTTGTGGACACATCCCCAGTAGGAGGTGTGCAAGAGGCAGCTGATCCATGTTTCTCTCTTAGCAATGTTTCTAACTCTCTAGCCCTCTTCCTTCCTCTCTGTAAAAAATCAAATATATATATTAGAAGTTTGATGCATGAAATTCATGCAAGGGGCTTGGTTGTTCCGCTGTTCGGCCGTCTGATCTAATTAGCATATTATGCTTTTACACACACACACACACACACACACACACACACACATATATATATATATACATATATATATATATATATACATATATATGTAAAAGGTTGACCCTATTAAAGACATCTCGGGAATTGGTGGGCAATCATTCAACTAATCATTCTAAAACAGTGTAGGGTGGGTAGTAAGTTGTTGGTTTTTAATCCTCACCTAAGGATATTTTTTTCCATTGATTTTTTTTAAAGAAAGAGTGAAAGGGAGAGAGCGAGAGCGAGAGCGAGAGAGAGAGAGAGAGAGAGAGAGAGAGAGAGAGAGACATCGATTAGTTGCCTTCTGCCTTCTGCTTAAACCCGGACCAGGGCCAGGGATCAAACCTGAAACCAAGGTATGCGCTCTTAACTGGCAATCAAACCTGTGACCCTTCAGTATACCAGCTGGCACTCTAAACACTGAGAAAACTGGCCAGGGAGTGAGTAGAAAGTTTTTAAGAAATATTTTTATTAATTTAATTTCAGAGAGGAAGGGAGAGGGAGAAAGAGATAGAAACATCAATGAGAATCATTGTTTGGCTGCCTCCTGCATACCCCTACTGGGGATTGATCCTACAACCCGGGCAAATGCCCTTGATCAGAATTGAACCTGGGACCCTTCTATCTGCTGAGCCAAACTGGGAAGGTGTGAGTAGCAAGTTTTAATGTGAAATTACACTATTCACAATGCTACCTCCACTACTTTAACATAATCCCATTGTCCCACCAAAGTGACAGCTTGGTGCTACCTGCCTCTAATAACTTCTAAAAGTTATTAGAGGCAGAAATTGGGGGACAACTTGGCAGAGACTGTAAGGAGAAAATTAAAGTTTTGTATTGATAAGTGCATCTGATGATTTCTAAGACCTTTTTAAGTTTTATGATTCAGGTTGCTCTGGACCATTCAGATTCTTACCCAGAAAGACTGCTAATGTTAGATAAGAATAAAAAATTTAATTTGGGGTAATTATGTAGCTGACCTGTTAGGTTAAAAAAAGGTCCAAAATATTGTTCTAGAATGAGAAATTTGGGTGGATGGATTATTGGAGCGATGTTCAATCATTGGAGGAGGATTGGGTTTGTGGAGGACTTTGTGTCTCACCATCATGCGTATCATAGGTACAGATGACATTGACTCAGATTCCACCTCTAATGCAGTAGAGGCACTGGGCTTTCTCTGTCATATTTCAGGAGCCCCAGTTGACATGCCTGAGAGGTTCTGCCTTTTTAGAATATGAAACTTTGGAGCTGTTGTGTATGGGATCTTTTTTGTTTTTTGCTTGTTTGTTTTTTGTTTTGTTTGGTTTGTTGTGTGTGTGTGTGTGTGTGTGTGTGTTTTATGAAAGCATAAGCAAAGAGACCAAATCAGCTGTTTTCCTTACTTCTATCCTGGGAAGCTTTACATATCTAACTTGAAATAAAGCCATGAGGAATTGGCAATTCAACTGTAAAACTCCCAGTAAGGAAGAGAGCAGAAATAAAGCAAGAGCGCATCTCACTGCCTTTGTAGGGACTGTGAGGAGAAAACTATGTAAGACTGATCACATAATTACAGAATGTCAAAGTTGGTAGTGCCCTTACAGATAATCTCAGCCCTCTCATTTTATAGATGAGAAAACTGAGGTCTAAAGAGGTGAAGTCATTTGCACAAGATCATGCAATAAGCACATTATACACATTACTGGGTTTATTAACCATTGTTCTGAAAGTGGCTTTATTTACATTTGAATTTGCAACACATCCTCAATACTGGCCAGAAGCCTCAAAGAACCAGAAAATAAATTCATTTCTACACCTTACAAATAAAAATTTATGAGTCTTCAACGAAAACATAGATTAACATAAAGAACCTAAAAGCCAGCAAAAGAGTTGATCTCTTTCTAATTCCCTTAGGTGGCTCAGGAATAAGGAAGGTATTAGAGTCTTCACTACTGGGTTAAATTACAAATCTGGGACAATACAGGTGGAAAAGAATAAGCTCAGGAATAAGATCTTAAACCCTTCAATTCTGGGTTAATAACATATCATCCATATATAAAAACTAATTTCTCCCAATACCCACCCACCTGGCACAGAGCTGCCTTCAATGTGGAGTGCTGCCTCTTATTCATGACCCATGAGGGCCAAAGGTATATGACTCAGTGTTCTGAGTGAGAAACAGGTAAAAAAAAATCCGTGATGTTCTGCTTCAAGAGAAAAAGCCCTTAGATATTTTGTCTATGAGGATGGAATCAATGTTGTAGGTACATCCTCAATGAATGTTCTAAAGTTTCTTGTTTTAGGTACCCATTATATGACTTCATGCTTCATCAACCAACCTGTTGATCTAGCAAGCTTCAAATTCTCTCTACCTCAGGTCTTGATTGGCCCTAGAGTGAACTGGTTTCATGAGCAAGTGGTATATGGTGTTTGGTTTGAGCAGCACTGAGAAGGTCCATCATCCATTCCCACACCTTTCCTCACAATAAAAGGAAAATATCTGACTTTCACAGCACTTGGAATTCCTTCATAAGAAAAGCATTCCTTAATGTCATGTTAGAATGTATCCATCTTTAGAAGTCTTTATGAACTCCAGTAAAGGCAATACCTTAGCCTGTGGCCTGCTAACAATGAAGCAGCAAATGGTTATCGCATCTCTGGAAAATGGGTGCACAATGAGAAGGCATCAAGATTTGTATGGGAAGATAAGAAAATGCAAAAAACAAGCTTGGTGTACTTCAAAAATTTCCCAGAGACAGCTGCAAATATAAACTTATGTGTATGTGTGAATGTGCCCATGAAAGTATGTTTTTCCCTTAGAAAGTCTTTTTTGTCCTTCTCAAGAACATTTCTATGAATGAACACTTCTAACTTAACATATCCTTTTAACATAGGATTTTTGCTTCATTTTTTTCTTTTCTTTTTTAATAATCATACTATGTATGTATAAATAACAAATGTTTAAACTTTTACCTTGTCATGTTTCAGTTTCCCAGCAGAAGTACTAAAACTTTTCAATGACACATTTTACCAACAACTGAGCTTCTTACCTTGACGAGGGCTTCAAACTGGCTTCTAATTTCCTCACAGTTCAGTAAAGATAAGGACTTCTCTCCTTTGTTGCACCTCTGTATCATTTTCATGAACACAAAATCTTCATGAAGATTCCTTTCATCTTCTATCTATTTGTAAAATAACAGACATAAGAAATGAAATTCTGAAGAATGGCATCAACAACAGGAGGAGGATTTTTACAGATATGCATGAGGAATAAAAATGTACACTGAATTATTGGTATTTGGTATTAACAGTTCAAAAATATCTACAAAAACCAGCAACTAAAATGTCAGAGTATCTGTAACTCTAGGTGGAAATCAGAGTTATTCTAATGCAATTTAATCACAAAGTATACATTTTAAAATGTATCATAGCAGCAACATTCTATAACTGTCATATTCCCCCTTGCTCCAGTAATGATTGCTCATTGTAAATAGTTTTGCAAACTAGTTCTCTACTGAGCAAATTTTCCCACTTCATTTTAGTGTTTGTGATGAAAAAGTTAATTTGCAATGTGTGTCATTTAACTCAAGTTCTAATTACATCTCTCTTTTTTAACTTTAGTCTTTGCAGAAAACATTTGAATTTTTAAAGAATCATCTTTCATTTCCAAAGTGAACAAGTTATTTTATTTTCCGGTGTCTTAGAATGTATGGAATTCACTTGTATAATCAATTAATTCTCTGCCGTTTTTCTGTTTTAAGATTAAATATTTGAATTCAAAACAAGATGCAATTAGTCAGTGGCTTTCACTGATATTAGGAGCACACCTAAATGCTACATTAAAATTGAGTCTACCCTGTAGAGTCTAGGTTTATGTCCAGGCTTTGATTGGCAGAGCCCATTAGGCCAAACACAATCAGACCAAAACCACCCCTCTTTTATTCTCAGCAGTGAGAAACCCAATAAATTACCTCAAACATCATTGCCCCACTTTATTCTGATAGAAAACCACATTAGTCTTAATTCTAGGTTGGCATTCCAATAAGAGACACTTAAATAATCCTGAGAAAATATAGTCTCCAGATACTCTACATCCACAATTCCCATATCAAACTTTTTAGGAATGGCCAGATAATTGATCAAATTTCTTCTTTTCATTTATGATTGATATTTTGTCAACACAGCCAATGATTCCCCTCAATGAAAGTGGGTAGGTGCATCAAAACAGGATAAATGCTAATGGTTATCTTTTCCTAAGAATGCAAAACAACTTCCTAAGTTACTCTACTCTTGTTTCTATAAGTCTAACCAAAAAATGTAAACCATCTTCGAAGGAAACTGGAAGCTTGTAACTACAATCAGAATTTGACCAATTATTCAGAGAATGCCACTTTTACTAAAAGACAATTTCTGGGATTTATCCATAACTATGTTAATCTGAAGCACTACGGAATTTGAGATCAAATTGATATTTTCCTTCTGTAGTTGGAAATTTAAAAATTTTAAAAATGTTTTCACGATTAAAAAATAGTTTACTTTTAAAACAAAACTTTAGCAAACAATTATATGCAATGCCTACATAATGCTTACTTTGTGCCAGGCTTTGTTCTAAGCTTGTTACAAGGCTACATTCATTTAATCAATGAAGTGATACCATTATCATTCACATTTCTCCCATGTGGAAACTGAGGGATAGAAATGTAAAATGACTTGCTTAGGATCACAGAGCTTGTAAAGGGTAGAGTCAATATTTGAACACAGGCAGTTTGACTCCAGAGCCCAAGCTCTTGACCACAGACAAGAATATGAGATTTCACTCACTAGGCACAAACATTATGCCACAAAACTATTTATCGGTTTTGGTTCCTACCATTGTTCATCATTTGAGTAGAGCTAAACCAACCAACCCAGAAACTGAAGACCCCAAATTTCGTTAATAAAGATTTCATCTTACCTTGTCCAATCTTCTGTGAAGATACACAGCAAAAAGTGCGGACCCAATCATCTGGGTGATAAGAAAAACAGTAAGTAAATACATGAAAATTTTCATACTGACGGGTGGTCCACTATTCACAGGTCGGGGAGAAGGTTGGCTGTATGTTTCGATCATGCTGCCGTAGAGTTGAAATATCTTCTGCTGGAGAAGGTGACAGCGGCAGCATGAGAAGACTGTCAAAGTGGCCACCTTACTCAGAATTAGTTAAGAGCATACAATCATCACAGCCCACACTTCCTGGAAAATGTGCTTCGTAGTCTTCTCTCCCAGCAAAAACGTTACGTAAAGGTTTTTTTCTTTCTTAAATTATACCCATATCATTCACTTCCAGGCTTTCCCTTTTGTTAGTAAAGAAGAAACTCTTCCATACATTCATTCTTGCCTTAAAATGTCATAGACTTCTCAACAGACAATGGCAGTATTTTCCAATTGCTGTCTAACTTTTGGGGTTCACCAGTTTCAAGGAAAGTGATAAATTAATCCACCAGCAACAGACACATTTCATTTTCATTCTTACTAATGTAAAGCGGGAACTTGGTATCTAAGGAAAGAAACAAATGAAGACAAAAGTTTGGATTGATTTTATGACAGTGTGTCACTAGCTAATTGCTTCTCAAGACTTATTTAATATTTAAACCCCCAAAAATCCCTGCAGGTATTCAAGTTGAGACTACATGGCATAAAGCAAAAAAAAAAAAAAAAAAAAAAGAGTGATAAAAATTATTAAATAAAATTTAGCTAGAGATAATTCAAGAAAAATACATTTCTCAAAGGTCAAGAGAAGTAAAGACTTGAGGGAAATCCAGCCAAAACTCTACAATTGATGTTAAAGTAGGACTATTAGTTTGACTTAGCCAAATTGCTTGTTTATGCCGTTCCAATCCATCAGATCATTGTTGATGCCTATATAACTGTTCAGAAAAGGTGAAATAGGCTACACCTAAGATAACTAAATTATACTCCTTGCTCTACCAATAAATTTCTATGGACGACAGGCAAATAACTTTGTCTCTCTAGACCTCAGTTTCCTCATATTCAAAGAGGTCAAGAATATGATTTCATTCACTAGGCACAAACATTATGCCACTTTGCCTATACTATAGGTTGTTGTGAAGTACAAAAAAGAGGTGTATGAAAGATCTTTCAAATGTGTTAAGCAATAGACATTCTGAGTTTTTTTTTAATTGTTTAGCCTAAGATATGAGTTTTCCAAATAATTGTCAATTCCTTACATACTAATAAAAAAAGAAAAAAACAGCAACAACATTTAAAAACCCAAAGTTTTGTTAACGAATTGAATCACTGAGGTGTGTAAGATTACATATTTCTGAATGGCTTTTGCATGGTCTTATCAGATTGCCTTCAAAATTAAAGCAGCTGTGGAAATCCCTACCCACATCCCAACCTGGTCTAGAAACCATGACAAGTTGGCTTTGGCAATTCCTATAAAATTGTTTTAAGAGACAAATAGGAAATGCAACAAAATGCTCCGATAGGCATGCTATCTGTAGAGTTAGCACCTGCTCTCTTCCCCTCCCACGCCCCAGCATCCTGTCCTGGACCCAGATCTGCGTAGCTTTTCACTATATCTGACAAGTAGGTGACTTCAATGCATGTGATAAACTTTGATCATTCAAGTAAGAGGCTTCAGTTCTTAGACAAGCCTTTGTTCCACTAAAGGAAAATTATCACAAGAGGCAAAATAGGCTCGAGGACTTCTCCAAGGCCAGCTTCATATAATTACAGAAGGCCAGAGCTGCAAGGACCTTGCAAAGATAAGCTGAAGGGACCACAGAGATGCAGACAATGTAAGGATTTGTTCGTGTGACCAAAAAAAGTTGTCCAACCTCCCTTCCTCCATTTCCTGATTACCCACCTCCTACAGTCTGACTTCTGCCCACAATATTCCCCTGAAATTGCTCCCACCATTATTAGTTCAATAATTTTGGTCAAATTATTTCTAGAATTTATTTTTAGTGACTTTCCTATTAGTCTGTTGACCTATTATTCTGTTGTCATCCTGCTGAAAACTTGCCTTCCTTGCCTCTCAAAAAACTTCTTCATGGATCCCTTTATTTCTTTGTATCCTTTAAAACTTAGGTATTCCCTATCCTCATTCATCTGTTCTCAACTCTCCTCCCTTCTCCCTCTTCTCATTCTACATATTTACCTTGTGTGAGTCCCATTATATTTCTCAAATATCACCTTCATTGTGACAAATCCCAAATCTATAACTGTAGTCCTGAACTTCAGATTTTTAAGTATGGCTACCTCTAAATATTTCTACTGGGATATCTCAAAGTCACCTCACATTTGGCATGCTCAAAACTTAACTCAACTGCCCACTCAACTTCCAATCTAAACCTGTTCTCTCTCTAATGTGTCCCTATCTCAGTGAATGATAATACAATACCCACTAATTGTTCAAGTCAGAGTCCTGGTAGTTATCTATAATCCCTCCCTTTCTCTTGCCCAAATTACTTGCCAATCCCAGTAGTTCCTTTTCCCCAAAGCTTCTTTGCCACCACTTCTTTCCATTTCCCCTGTCAACATCCTAGTCCAGGCCCACATCCTCTCTCTGCTAGATTACTGGACTATACTCTCCTAATTTATCTCCTTATTTCCTTTCTGTCCCACTCATCTAACCTCTATATTTCCAGCAGAATGCTAATTCTAATTATTATAATTAACCAATCATCTTATCTAATTTGAGCCCTCAGACTCTGCACTAGACCCAGGGAAGCAGATTGACAGAGTGCTCTGAAATGTTTAATGTGAATAGAATTAGCTCCAGAATCATCTTCTTGTACTTCAATTCTTGAAACTTCCCCCTGCCCCCGATTCTTCTTCTGGCTGGTCCTAGGCACAATTGGCTGCCTTCCCATTTTCTAAACTTCATTTTCTGATTCTGTATCTGATGTCCTTTGTATTAGACTCCCAGTACCTGCCTCTGCCGCAGCAAGGAATGGTTTGGTTCTGGTTTTGGACCCCTTTTAAATATCTTCAGCTGTTTAATGCATCCAAAAATTATTTTTAAACTTTTTTACAAAGAAATGTATAGCTCTATAAAGTACATGAAAGTGCCTGAAGCCAAAGTAAAATATTGGCCATCTTTTCCTCAGTTCACAAAAAGAATTAAATTAATAGATTAAATTGTTTCAATTTTCAGTTTTTCTTACACAAAATTATCTGAAATGTCTCACCCTTTTCTACTACTGCATTTCTTGTAGATAGTGCTGATTTAAAGCAAATTAGTATCAAGGGAAAACTAAAAAAACACAATGGATTATACTTCAACAGCTTGTTTTTTATGTTAATGAATCTGCTTGTGGTTGTGATTTTATATTGATAACCTAGAACACAGTCATAGTTTCTGTTAGGAAAATTATTTCCAGTACATATAAAGAATTAAATAGATCAGTGTTTTGTTTGTTCTACAAAGGGCCTCACAAAGATTCTTTTCCCTGAACATGTCTGGAAAATCCTTGTGTAGAGGACAACATCTCCATCATTAGTGCAGCACATGATCTGACCCCCCACCCACATTTCTGTCTTCATCTCTGCAACTCACTCATGCTCAGCCCTAAGAATCAACCATATCAAGTGAGGCTTATTTCTCAAAATGTGCTGTGCTTGTTCAAGCTGTTTCTTATGAGCACACTGACTCCCTCCTCTCTTATCCATTAATGTTGAAAAGGTACTCTGTGAAACATCCTCTCTCAGCTGACAGTGTCCTCTTCTGTGCTTAATCTATCATAGCATCATAATATCACGTCATGATTGACTTATCTGGACATTTCCATACCATTAGCTTCTAGAGGAAAAAGACAATTAAAAAATTCAAAATCCTTGCTTCCTGACACACTGTAAGGAATTCATAAATCCTTTCCAAATAACAAAATTTTCATTTAAAGAGATAGAAAGGGAAGTTGTAAAAACAATCTAACCTAGTAGAATAGCACTGGCCAGCCTCTCTAATGATACAAATCAGAATATATTTAAGTTTTCCTTTATTCCTTTAATTATCTCTTTTTTTCTGGGGTCAATCCCATTTGTTTATTTTGGTCCTTTCCTTTCATGTTGATAGTTTCCCTCAAATGTGTGGTGACCCTTATGAATGAAAAAAATGATGTTAGGTTTTATGGGTAGATGGCATGAGTTTCCTCTACTGTAATGTTGATCTGTTTCCCCCACAAACCTCTCTCCGGAATGGGACGGCTAACTGTGGGTTCTATTTAGTTGGGTAGGGCCTGTCAACAGGCACACTTCCTTTTATGTCATGTGGGTGGAGAGGCAGGAAGGCCAGGGACCCCCACAACTGATAAAATAAGGAGGGCTTTCCTTTGGGGGTGGAACCCTGTAGAGGTTTTCACTTTTGACTGATGCTGGTTTTCCTTTTGTTTTCTTTTTCGTTTCTGTTGTAGAAGTTGCAGGATCCTCCTTAAAGCCCTCTCCAAGCAATTTTAGCCTGAGAGCAAAAGTAAAATATTGCTGCTGACAAAGAATCTATGGGGAAAGGGAGAGAGTGAGAAAAACATCCATCTTTCTCAGTTTTTTCCCACCAGAGCTCTATAATAAGAGTTACCATAATGATTGCCTCTCAGCCTACCCTGCGTTTTGCATTTATTGACATTGAGATTCGTGCCTCTTTGGGAAAACCCATTCTCACGTCTGTTTTCTTGAGTTGCCATATTTTCTGCTCTTATTTCTCTGTTAGTCAAAATTCAATGGCTTTCTTGCTTTGCCATAGTCCTCAAAATTTATTTCACATTGATGTCACCTTTTTGGTTTCCCATGGTGGTTGTAGTTTTATTATTTTTACATTTACTTTTGACTAAGTAAAAGCATTTTGACTAAGTACATTCACAAAGTTTAAAATGTAAGTAGTACAAAAGATTGTTCAATGTACAGTCTTTCTTCCATCTCTTCCTACCAGTCCTCCATTGTCAACCAGTGTTGTCAGTTTTATGTATCTATCAGAGATGCTTTTTTAATTTTATTTTTATTGTTTGAACTATTTCCTGTAATAATACATATAGCTCCTTTTTTTCTGCCCTTGACCTTCCCCCAGCCTCCCTTACCCCCTGTCGCATGTTCTCATCCCACACCCCAAG